CCACAATTTTTCGAAATTATCAAGTTCTAAAGTCTATTATTTTAGATTTATGTACTCAAAGTAACTTTTATTTAAGAAATGGATATTTTTTTTGACAAATAAAAACATTTAACATATTGTTCATTATTTTATTATTAAAATATTATTAAATAAATTTTATTATTCAAATTAAATAAATTTTATTATTCAAATATTACTGCAAATATATTCAAGATCAATATTTGGTGATTCCTCCTTTGCCTCTCTAATTGCAGGAACCCTTTTTGGCATACTTTATTATAGTTCCAATGTTGAATAATTCTTTCTATTAAATACACTTTATTTGTAATAATTTTTTCAGATTTTTGCTTTTTTAGAAGCGCCCAAACATTTTCTATAGGATTTAGGTCAGAAGAGTTTCCTGGCCAATCAACTAATGGAATACTTTGTTCTGATAGATATTTTTTAACTGATTTAGCTGTGCGACATGGTCATGCCCTGACCTGCATGAAGGCTTTTTTTTCACCTGGACTAAACTATTCTGCCAATTGTGACAACAACCTTTGTTCCAGCATTTTTATATTGTAACTGTAACATTTTTCATTCTGCAATATAGAACCTTCCTATTTCCTTTACACATTTCATTTATCAGATCATCACAGAGGTGGGGTGTTTAACAGTTTGCATGATGCAGTCCAATAAGTATTTTTTACTTTTTTTTCTTTTTAAAACTTAAAAGAACTCTCGCCGCTAAAGTATACCTTAAAATATTATACAAGGATTGTTAAGTGAATATTGAATGAATATTTAAAGTTTGGTTTAAGAAAGTGGATATTTTAAATTCATCTAAATTAATTTTATTAATTACCAATCATATGTTAAATTCCTTTACTTTTTTGTCCACTCAAGCTTTTTTTGTACCATTTTTGGTGTCAGTTTAGGCTTCTTAGCTGGACGTCGTGAAATGTAACCAAGATTGTGTAGGCAATGTTGGACCGTTCTCTTCAACATTTTGACTCCAGATTGGCCCAGCTTATTAGTTATTTCGTTGTTGGTGGCCCGTCTATTTTCTAGAACAATCTTGGTAAGTATTCATTTCCTGTATGGTGTTAGGATTCTCTTCTTTCCACATTTACCAACCCTCTTTGGCATCAAGTTCTCCATATTAGCATTTTTTTGTGTATAGTTTGTACAGATACCCGCGAAATACCATATTTTCTGGCTATTTTTCATTAAGAATGATCAGTATTTATTAAAAGTGCCCTGGTTTTAGCAATTTTTTGTGACAAGTTTTTTTTTTCCCTCATAACTAAAATAAGATATCACATATCAGTACTACAGTTAAGAATTTGCTTTGGTACTCATAACTTTAAAAATATCAAACTAAATACAACTATTTTTAATTTAAAATAAATAGAAATATTCAAGAAATTTTTACTGTATTAAATAAGTAATATTACGATAACCTAATAAAAGAATTCAAAACTCTGGTAATAAAACTTAACAAGTGTACAGCAAAAAGATTATAATTAAGATGACATCATACAAAATGGCTGTCAAAAGTGACAGTGTTGCCAGTAGCAAAAAAAAAAAGCATTGATTTTATAAGTTAAAACTTTATTTTAAACAGAAGATTAAATTTCAATAATGATTTTTTACTCTTCATATGAAAAAAATGAGATTAAATTTCAAAATGATCAAAACTCATAGGTGGCCATAATAAATTGTCACACGACTGTATATATAAAGTATAAATATTTTGCAAAAACACTTTTATTTGCGATAACTGCTTCATTGCATTGTGGCATGCTTGCAATTTATTTTTTATAGTTTCTGTCAACTCTGGGTTATTATGCTAGATCTTGATAATCTCTTCCATAAGATCTTGCTTATTAGTAAGATTTTTTTTTTCCAATCTTTTGCTTTACTATATCCCAAATATTTTCTATGGGGTCAAGATCATGCGAGTTGTCTGGCTATAGCAATACATCAACTAAGCCATAACAGTTTTTATTGTGTGGCAAGTTGCGCCATTTTGCATAAATATAAGATTTTTGACATTATTTTTAAATTTTTTTGTCAATTTTTGACATTTTTGGCTGGACATCAATCCCTCTTCTTTTAGCCTTCTACAAATGGTCTGGTCTGACACAACAATTACAGCTTCATGGATAAGCTTAGTGACTTTTTTTCTCTTTTCCAGGCAGATATTTCTGATTATACTGTCCGCTCTTGGTGTTTTCTTGCGTTTAGAAGGTGGTCTCCTTGGACCAAACTCTTCCCCTGTATGAATTCTTTTTCTCACTTGCATTACGGTTTGGTTAGAAACCTTTGCGGTTTGTGCAATTTTTCATCGAGAATAATTTGTATTTTGTAAAAGACATGTTTATCAATTTTTAATGTAACTATAATAATAATAACAATGTATAATGCAGGTTGTTAACTAGCAGGTTGTTAATGGTTTATAATCAAAATTTAATATGGCTGGCGGTAAAGGTAAAGAGAAGTTTAAAGGAACAAACATTAGGTATTTACTTGTAAGTTAAGTGTAAAATTATATATTTTTAAAAAATCACAGTTCCTTTTTTTTATGCTAATTTATTTTTTTAACTTTTTGATGTATTTGATGTAAATTACTCAGGCAATACCTTTTTCATAGAGAGCGTTTTGTCAATTAAAGTGACTGCTACAGTTGCCGAAATAAGAACAGGAATAATGACTTATTAAAATACGCACTCGACAGATCAAATGGTGGTGGTCGGCACGTAAAAGGCGATTCACCCGATGTATAATATTCATACTTTTTTCTAGTTGTTCTGGAACTATTGATAATAGTTATTATTGATAAATTGATAAATATATTACTGATAAATAAAACTTTTTTTTTTCAAACATTTTACTTTATTTGCATTGTATATAAAGTCCGTTGAAGCAATTTAGTTGTATCTGATTAATTTACGTGAAATATAGTATCCTCTGCGCAAATTATTGCTTTTTTATTGTATTATTTTATTGCAATTAAAGTTGAGATAATTTTTTAGTTAATTGGATTTAACCAAAATAAATAACAAAAATCGACGTTAAATTTACGTTGTTTCAACGTTGTTCTAACGTCTTATCAACT